TTAATCTAGTCACGTTTTACAGCTTTCTTGACTTAGTTTTAAAGGCAAGATAACGTTATATTGTTATTGTCGAATAAAGCATAAATTCAATATTATACCTTTTATAAAGGGAGTTTTATATAAAAATTGCATTCTGTATTGAGAAATTTTTCTTTTGATGCCAAATTTCGTTTTCGTGTGTCTTTCGAAGGTCATTGTCAGTTATAATGTGAACCATGCAGAATCCCTCATAGACCTTATGCAATTGCTTGTAGCTTATATAGTTCAACCATGAACAAGCGATCGATGTAAAATGTAGTAAAATGTTATCTACCGATGCCTTTTTCCAACTAGCAATTGGAAACATACCATAGGGAATACTAGTGCTAACTGCAAATTACAAATAAATGTTTGTTTTAAAGCTGTAGTTAAAAAAAAAACAGATATGACGTACCTTTTCTAAGTAAAATTTTACCAAATTCAGGGCTAATTAGAAAATTATACGTTCTAAATTCTATTTATTATTCAGGAGTATATCAGAATAAAATGATTTGTCGATTCTATGTAATTTCGATCTCATGTTAACATCATGTATTTATAAGCTTGAATTAATACTTTGTGTTGAATTAACAACGAATACCTGAGTCAATCAGACCTCGTACGATATTTAACTTCCGGTATTTACTCAACTCTCTTGCAAATATTAAGGAATACATATTGCTCTATGAGGAATTCAGCCGTGTCCTTCTACCCCCAAAACTAAAAAGAACTGGAGGATATACAACGATTGATGACGATGATGACGTAGAACGAGCTGCAGAATGTAGAAGAAGAAAAAGAGGAGGAAACGAGTTTCGAGCTCTGATGCAGAACAATGAAACTGGTGATGATAAGGAGATACGCTGCGGATTATCGAAGGAGAAGAAAGACGGGGAAGGGGGTTGAAGAAACATGCATGATGCATAATGATTCCCTAACAGAGCTGTTTTAATTGTAAATTCATTGTGAACCAAAGTTGTGAGCTAAAGTTAAACTGTTAGAGTGACGACCTTTACTGGCCAGACAGCCATGATCAGATTGGTGAGAGTGATTAACTATGGAGGTGCTAGAAAACCACTATGACTACCATATCCATAGAATTTTCCTTTGGACAAACTCTCTCACCTATCCCAATGGCTCAGCCGTAAGTCTTGGGGCTTATAAGGCTAAAAGACGGGTTTCGATACTCGCGGTGGTCAGAGCACAAACAGCCTATTGTGTATAGCTTTGTGCTTAACAAGTAAAATATCTGAGCAGAAGTTATTTTAGTATTATTTTATGCGTTTTAAAACGATGAATATTTTTATTTCAATCGAGAAAAAACATAACTTTTCGACAGTAAAAAATTAAAGAAAGGATTGACACTGAAAGAAGATTTAAAACATATACATTTATCTTGAGTTCCGACATATTTTCAAAAGTTATGTTTCATAATACTTTACGTTTTCTTTTATGGAAGAGAATATTGACTGATAAAAGATGAAGAGTTTCCGACAAATATTGTTTACGTTGGGTTCCCTTCGTTATCTCCTGAGAAATTCTATTCAAAACAAGCTTAAACTTTCATTTAAAACGTGTTTATTAAACCGATATCAGCGCCTGCTAGAAATGGGCGAGTGTGAGGAAAATCCTTTGTGAACGGTTGCAGTCAATATTTCCTAAGCTTATATTTGTAACAACTTGGGAAACTAATTAATAAACCTTTTTAAGGTTCCAACGATTAACGTTCGTACACATTTTATAGACTCAGAGTTATATTGACAGTGTCCCGGAAGATTATCTGCCATTGCATCTGTATTATTTATGTTTCAAGCTGAAATCTACTGAATTTGGTTTTAGATAGTGTTTAGCCTAATATATTTAAATTGAAATATGAGTTTATAACTTATCATCGTCTTCGTAATACAGCCAACTAACTAAACAATTATTATTCAGTGAGAAATAATTATCAGCATCAGCAGAGTAATACATGTAGTTTTTTGTTATTCATGATACTACAATTTTTGTATTACTCATTTCAGATAATTTTATAGGAGTATAATTAATTTTTTTGGAACTCTACTTTTATGGCAAAGCAATACATCATTAAGTCGACGTATTGCTAAAAGAACATAAAGCTTAAATGTATCTTGCACATTGCTACAAAAAACAACAACAACCCCAAAAACAACCAAATTACGAAGCTTGTTGATTTCGACACCGTAATGTGTGATTACGTGGGCAAATACATGTGTACATGTGCAAATTTATTTCGCATTGTGTTTTGCCTAAATGAAGATAACACATTATTCATGTCATAATTGTCACGCTATTCTTTATTGGCTGAACCTGTGTGTATCGCTTTTCAAAATATTTCTGTATTACAATAATTGAAATAATATTGATCTTTTTAACTCAAAATCTCAGGCTATTTTATTTGAGTTCGGAGCGTACAATACTTCCTGTTACGTATGCCTCAACATACTTCGTGCTTCTTGTATACATCATTTGAATTCATCGAGTAAATGCTCTAGTGAGATGGACATGATGGCATTTAACAAACCTAGAAGAGAGCATATGCCGGTGATTGTGGAGGCCAGTGAATAGAACTCCCACGAAGAAAACATCCTTATATCTTATTGATTGTTTCCTCTAGGAACTAACAAGTGTGAAGTGTATAGTTAAAGATGTATAAAAACTTAAAAAGTTACGTTATTAGAAGATGTGTCTGGCAATTGTCCCGTGATGATAGTGGTCGAATATCACGTAATATTTCGGGACACGCTAAATGAATAAATACTGGAAACATGCTGCTTGAGGCTCTTGTTTACATTTGAGTTCAAGAATAACACATTTCCCGAAATGTTTGAACTTACATACACATTTATGTTATATATATATAATACTATTTATCAATGTTTGCTTGAAAGCAATTTTAAGATCTGCAAAATAAAAACAACAGGATGTGTACAGACTGGCAAACTGACACAGAATACGAATACTTTAAGTTATGTAATAAGTATAATATGAATGTTGTTATTCGAATTACAATGCCAGTTTTTCTGTCACAGCATTGCTCATTTTTTCAACTGAAAGACAAAACTTATCAAAGAATCCAGTTTCGGGGTGACTACGCGTATATAATAGAATTATAAAGCGACCACTCATTTTGATCTGATTATGATTCATTTGAATGCAAATAAGTAAGATGTTTTTATACGTTTTGACTAAATACTGCCCCCCCCCCAGTGGCACAGCGGTATGTCTACGCACTTACAACGCTAGAATCCGGGTTTCGATACCCGTGGTTGGCAGAGCACAGATAGCTCGTTGTGTAGCTTTGTGATTAATTACAAACGAACACAAACTAAATACTGATAATTTTTATTATCTTAAGTATGGTAATTTTTTAACAAGTCTTCTCAAAATTCCTCAAGCCTTCATTTGCTGAAAATTATTTAAGACAGTTTCCTATTAGGTACTTAAGACCGGTTAATTAAGATTACTGTTAATCTTAGAAATATTTTGCAAATGAAATATAGCTTTCTTTTTTGTAATATTCTAACTGGCGACATTTATGCTATTTCTATAATCTAATTACTTTAATTAAAACTGTTTGGAATCATAATCCCTGACTTAGGTTACATTTCAAGTTTACAAATATATTATAAAGAGAACAAAATATCATACAAAGTTTAATATCAACAAAAATGATCTTAATTTTTGTTAGTACTTATTTTTTTATGTCGAAGCTCATATTTATTTAATGTTCAGTTGTTTATTAACTGTGTTCCTTTGTTTATAGATATCAGCTCGCATTAAACTATTTACACATTAAAAATACACCTATTAGTAGCTTCACATGTACAGGATATATCCAGTTCATTTTCCTTTTAAGTAATCCTACATTCGGTTCAAAATGTCTTATGGGACTGATTAAAAGAGGTCAGACCATTTTAAGAAATAGATTGCTGAGCGCTTCGAATTAATAGACGTTTCAAAACATAGTCCATAAGAAGAAGCTTATGACGTGTATTATAGGTAAACGGATTTAAATTATACATTATAAAACCTAAGTTCAATATACGTATAGGCTCAGTATTCATACGTGGTCTCTATTCTTAATCCAGGCTGTCTCAACGATATACTTGTAATGATTGCTGAACTTTGAAAAAACCTACTAATTTCCTGAAAGTCAGCAGTTGAAGTACCATAATACATTACAGTTCTATAAATAAAACATTTAGGATTAAAAAGATACCAAACTGATGATGTTACAACATCATAGCTATGAAAGAAGTTTTACTTCATTACGAAATATCAAAAACGCGTGTGAGAAATTTCCTTTGTTTGAACCATAATCAAATAAGTTAGTGAATTCCAAATAGAAAGAAAAATACAACAAACTTTTTTTTTCGAATGGAAATGGAACAATACTAAAACGCGGTTTCAAAATTTATCAAATCTGTTCACACGAAAAGAAACTATCGAACATTACAAGAACAGTCCAAACTGAATAACCAGTAAATATGGACATAATTTGTCAAGCATCGTAATCAAATCCATTCAAATAAAAGCTTTTTTTTGTAGTTCTCTCTTCAACATGTCAAAGATCATGAAAAGTACAGTGAAAACAATCATTATTATTTGAAAAGAAACAAATTCACTTGATTAAATTCATTCGGAGGTTAAGGGGATGGGGGAAGAAACAAAATGAAAACTAAAATGTAGAATCTATGAGCCTCTGTTGTATTGGACTTTTACTTTTTTGTAATTCCCCTTAATGGAATAGAAGTGAAAAGTTCAATAAAGAACCATAAAAAGATATAAAACGAAACAGTAAAATAGACAGATGGATAAATAGATAGATAGAGATATTTTGTGGTTTACCACACAACTTTTTCGTCCATTTATTGATCCACTGACAGTGGTGGCGTTACTTGTCCTTCCCCTAATATGCCAACCTTGTTAGAACATTAGACCAGTGAACGTTCAGACAAGCACAGTCAAGTTGACAAAAGTACTGTTTGTTGACTGATACTCGTATCTTCAGATGAGAGTGAGAACATGGTTGTTCATCTAGCCTGTAAAGTAACGACACAAAAAATTATTAATATGTGGATTACATTTGGAATTTTACTTTTAATAAAAGGTAAGATCAACGTATTGAAATACTTTTGAGTCAAATAAATGGGTGTTTGAATATTTTAAACGTAAATGTTAGTTCAATTCTTTAAGTAAGCTTTGACTGAAATTTCAGTGAGAATTATTTCATAATAAAATATTGAAGATTTTCTCATTCAAGAAACTATAGTATATGCAAAATAATGCAACATCAGTTTTATTTCAAAAGTATGACTTTGTTTTAAAGAAACCTTTTATTTCATTGCTTTATTTAGTACCTGTGCTAATTTTCTTCCCAAAATAAAAACAAGTAGAAATTTTATGTCGTTTATTACTGTGTAATAACCACGGAATGCTGAAATATAAATGTTTCATACTAAGTGTCAAAATCAAACAAAACTGTGACTTCCAGTTCAGTGTTTAGTACCCTCTATATTTCATTTAACAAAGATAATTAAATTGCGTATAGAAGGTCTACTTTAAACATTACCATATGGCTTAAAACACGAAGTTTTTTTGTTTTATTTCTTTAAACATACCAGATAGTAGTTCTCTATACTACGCAAATATCGTTATTAACACAAGCATAACGTTAAACCCCTTAAATTTAAACCCACTGAGTCTTGTATGGGTAATTATTGCTGATTTATAAATGACCCGTCGAAAGAATTAATGAATAACATTAATATACAAGTAGTGTTTATTAATGAATAATATTAATAAACACTACTTGTAAAAACTTGATCTATGAAAAATGTTGCAAGAACAGATGTTGATTTCAATGTAATATACATTTTATAGGTGGTTTTAACAAGAGAAGTCACACTTTAAAGTACTTCAAAGCAGGACTACGAATATTCATGCTTAGGCATAAAATTATAGGAAATGTTGGGAATAAAGTGTACTATTTAATCAACATTTCCACAAAGTTTTATTAAAACAGAATATTGAGTTAATATAGTTAACCCAGCAGTTTAAAAATGATTATCACTTTAAAATATAATTCGATTTCTATTTCATCAAAACTTCCCAGACAAAAATCAATATTTTTCTTATATGCAAAATAGTGAAATGCATTACTTCAGCTATTTCATTAAGGTGTTGTGCCGATGTTTCGGTTCACTGTCGGAGTTCCTATTTTCACTCAATATAAATGGTTTAACTTTTTAATTGGATTTTGTCAATCATGCCAACCGTTATATACTCGAGCTTAGTAATTCGAGCCTTTCTCAGACGTTGATTAAAAATAAAGACATTTTTCTTGACGCAATAAAGCTATATTGTGAAAAATTATTTAACTGAGTGTATCCTTATTTTGACTGAATGTAAAGGAAAGCATTGATAATTACTGACACGCATGCTTAGTAAATTTTACATGTTTGTTATCAGTAGCAAGACAAAACATAAATACTTATATCATTGCTTTGTGATCTAGGAAATAATACATATGTTTCGTTCTTGAATTAATTAACTAAGAAGTAAATTTAATGAAAATTACTTACTTTCTGACAAGAAAAATGTCATGATTGTGTAGAATTAGGAACGCATTACTCATCCAGAAATAAGTACATAAACATATTTACGAAAATAACCAAATACAAGTCAGAGAAATTTGAAGATCTATTTGGAATTCTATATAACCAATGATTAAGTCTACTATAGATAAGCAGGAAACGTTCCTATAAGAAATATATAACGATACCAAGTATAGCTGTAAGTATAGACGTGTAACCAAATATTGAAAATTACTAACATGCCATTTTAGACGGATGTATTAATTGTTTGCTGTTATAAATCAGATACGTGTACATTAATGTGGTCGTTTCATATGCGATCATTTCCTTAATAATTTGTGAAAGTAACATAATATTTGTTATACACTATTTTTGAAATGTTACTCAAAGCGAATAGTAGATAATTTGATTAAGGTTGCAGTTTTAAGAAATGAATATCAGGTTATGATTTCTAGTTACTTGACACGTGGTTCGCAGACTTGTTGAGAAAATAAAACATTGTGATATACCGAAAAACAACGTAAATTAATTCCAAAATAAGTTTAAAATGTCTCACAACTTGGGCTATAAGAGACACATTGCATCTCTCTTTTCAAATATAAACACAAAACAACCATCGAAAATCAAAGGCTACTCAACCTTTTTTTTTTTGCAAATGGTTTAACAACTCTATCCATAAGTGGGTTGGGCGTGGTCTGACGGTTAGTCTGCCGGACTGTGAATCCAGAGGTCCATGATTCACGTCCTACTGTCGTAAAATCGCTCCGCGCACCTAGGGGCTGTGGAATGAAGGAAGACTAGAGGAGGTAGCTCTTGTCTGCCAATCTGTCTAACAATCAGTCAGCCAACCTATCTATCTCTAACCACTTTGAAGTAAGGACAGTTAATACATAATTGAATGAGGATATCATTATAAAGATGGTTTTTCCTATACTGTATGGCAGCAAAAGTAAAATCCCAATAAAAGTACAATGTTTTTTTTTGCAATTTCAATTTTTAATCGCTGATAACAGATTTTTCCTCTGTTCTTAGGATGGGTATCAATTTCTGGTTTATATGCAAGTGAATATGAAGCAACAGCTTGTCATACCATAAAACAAAAGAATGTTAGTTGTCCTAAAAAGAAGCAAATTAGCATACAACATGCTACTGCATAACGTCACTGTACTTTGTAAAAAACACTTTTACTACACAGCAAAAATCTCAAAATTCCTAAATTGCATAAGGAACATCTAACATTTTCATGGCCCTCCAGTGGCACAGCGGTATGTCTGCGGACTTACAACGTAAGAAATCGGGTTTCGATACCAGTGGTGAGAAGAGCACAGATAGCCCAGTGTGTAGCTTTGTGCTTAACTTCAAATAAACATTTTCATGAAGTACTGCAAATGTTTAAGTTCAAATAAAACAATGTGTTGATCACTTATTGTTGATGTCTTTCAGGCTATAAAATGTAATGTTGAATAAATGTGTAATAAAAGGTAAGTTGAGATTAAAGTATTTATCGAAAGATATAATAATAAATAAACGTATGAACAGGCGAGTAGAATCAATAAATTAGCAAAATGCTTATTTTACTACTCATTATTTGTGAATTTATATTTGAGAATGCAATATATGTTATAAATGTAAGTTACGTCCAGACATAGGAGTCATTGCCTTGAAACACAATATCTCCCGCTCAGGCAATAATGCATCTATTTTAAATCTTAACGAAAGGAAGTTGAATGTTTTGAATGATGATTATGTCAAAATGAAAGATGAGCATGGATTATGAAAATATTTTAAGGTGAGAGGCTTACATTATTTTATTGTAAACTAACTGTACGAACAAATTTACATCACTAGTCAGGAGTATGTATTTTGTTGTCGTCCATAAAGCTTACTGACTTTCTTCCTCAGTCATCATGTTCGCCTTTTGGTAGCCTAACGCTTATAATGCTAAAAATAGAGTTTTGTTAGCCTCGGTGGGCAGGAAATATAAGCCCATCGTGTAGCTTTGTGCTAACATTAAGTTTAAAAGTTTTGGAGTTTTTTATTAAATGTTATGTTTTTTATGAGTCCAGATTATATAAAAGTGTTCAACCAGAGCGAAGCAAACTGCCAAGAGTAAATTTTAAAAATACATTATTAGGTGGTTATATTATGGTTTTTAGAAACACAAGACACTAGTGTAAATAATCGACGTTAATATTAAAACACGAAAACCAACAACGTATAAAGTAATGTAGTGTACAATGTGACCTGTGGGTGTAATAAAATTTATGTAAGTGAAACAGAGCATGTAAGGTATAAGGAACAGAAACGACCAACTTACATGAGAATCCAACTTGCTGGAATACCAGGATAGTGTTTAGAATGCGACACACTCCACTAATAGTAAAACTAAGCACAGTTAATAAAGAATGCCAGTTTTGAAAAATTAAAACTACTTCAGTTCTTTAGATAAGAAATATCCAGTGTGGCCTGGGTAAAGAACATAAATACAGACAGTGGTTCACATATAATCCTTGATTTATAAGAGTTATTTTTCAGTTGTTTAATCTATTCTGATTTTACTATTATTAAATCTGAAATGTTTTGAATAATTGAATAGGCAAATTTATTCAAAGCCCAAATTAAAATAGAGAAGAATTGTTTTCTCTCTTACTAAAATATCTTTATTAGGTTCTCATTCTGATACGGCTTGTCTGTTTCCTAACAGATCCAGTATTGTAGTTTGCATTGTTGTGGATTTTTGACAGTGCGAATGTTTTCTTATAAAGATTATTCTTTGTTGATATTATTTTATTTAAAAAAGTATTTTTTCCTGTACTTTCTTTCGCATTTTTCTTGTATTCTCACATAATTAATTGATTTCAGTTATATATTATATTTCAACTGCCAAAGCAGCATTTTTTAACAACGTAGTATACGTTATTCTAGTCACGTTTAGTATAGTTATTTTGTACTTTTAAATGCATCTACTACGTATTCCGCCTTTGTTAACTAAACTCAAAGACGACTCCTTATAACCCCAGTAAAACCAACATGTAAAATACCGCCGTGATATAAGCCAATTTTATTTTTATTAAAGTACTCTTCATTTTTGTTTATCTCTTTTCTTTTATCATTTTCGTTTCAATGTGTTGCAATCAAAAGTTGAAACAGAAGCAGCGTGTTATTGTCTTCATTGTTTAAATTCAATGAGTTTATCCATCGTGAAACCAAACTGAGGAGCATAATAATTGTTTTTGTTAATTTTCCTCTGTAGCTTTGAAAGATAAACAGCGAATTTTGAAGCTACAGTATCTGAATATTAAGACTCATCATAGGTGTGGAATATAATTTGAAAACGTCTTTAATACGTTATATGTAAATTAGGTTTGAAGTATCAATCATAATATGTAAGCTTACCGGTATTAGCATTATTTAAGCTTTTAATATATTTATCACAAATATCTGCATAGAAAATAAAAGATAATATTACAGTCAAGATATAGATCTCAATATATAATGATTTTTACGGTTATTT